AGTTGGATGCATTTTTTAACAGTATCTTTTTAATAACCCACATGCTTCATTGGTGACTCTGCTGGCAGTTTATACGAATAATCTTATTTGGTTATTTATAATATTATTTGGATAATTATTGTTAACTAGTGTTTGTTTTATATATTTAAGTTTACTGAAAAAAATTTTCTGAGAAGAGACACACATCTATCTTGTTCTTAATTACTCCTCTTACTACTTCAACTCAGACTAGCTGCTTGATATGTTGTCTTCTATTTATACCCAGCATGCAGACATAGTATTAAACACATGAATAAATGCAAATATTTAACAGTAACATGCTTCTCTCTATTCTAAAGGGTATTATTTGAAGAGTATAAAAATTCTAATAACTTAATAACTATTCATGATTAAAAGCTGAAAATTTACAGATTAATAATTTGGCAAATTTGGACATTTATGTCAAAAGGATGGTTTTTCCATTGACATTATTATTATTTTAACTACCTTCACTCCTTGGCAATGTTTATTGTTTTAAAATGTGATGATCAGACTTGTAATAAATGTGTGATGAAAGTGAATTTATACATTTTTTTTTTTTTGTTATTGAGAATTTACAACAAAAATATTAAACACTATTTATTTATTAGATTGTTTATTTACAAGAATAATTTTATATTCACAACATTCTAAAAATTAATATAATTAAAACTAATACAATGCAATATTTATCATTTACCAATTTATAAAGAAATAAATATGAAAATAATTTTTATTCATAAATTCATAAACCTTTACTAAATTATTAAAATATGTGAACCAACTCTAAGGAAATTATTACTTACCATTTTATAAAGTTTGAATCAATTGGCAATTGGCCAATGTTTTGCTAACCAATAAACAATATTATAGTATATGTAAACAATCTAATAAATAAATAGTGTTTATTATTTTTGTTGTAAATTAGCAAGAACAAAGAAAATGTATAAATTCACTTTCATATGTTTAGGTTTTATTACAATTTTAATCATCGCTTCAAACAATACACATTGCTGAGGAGTGAAGGTAGTTAAAATGATAGCAGTGTCTTTTTGACAGTTCGTTTTTTTGCAGGCATGAAGTTTGCTCATAAATTGATAGCACTGTGTAGATTCTAATTTCTTCATAAATTATAAGTTAATTAAATTTTATGTTGGTATTACTCAGTAGGGATATTGTTTTTATTAATAATAATAAAAAGAGTTTTTTTTATCTGAAACTGATTAATTAATAGAATATGTTCTAATAATGTCTTTGCTGTAATTTGAATCTGTTTAATTTGTTCATTTTACTAAATTTTAATTTATATTCATTTTTTAAGTTTTTCTTCTCAAACACTATGAATGATTTGCATATATAAATTGCATTTTCTTTCAAATTTAAAATGTAACATCTTTTGTTCTATTTGTAGATTACGATAATCTCAAAAAATATTTCCTGGTCATTAACATCAACAATCTGAGAATGAATGAAGAAGATTCCTTCCTTTATGATACCTTTCCTCAGGAATTTTTGTGGGGAGTGGCCACTTCAGCCTTTCAGTGTGAAGGTGGAACCAAAGCCGGTGGTAATTTTTATTTTGTTTTGTCTAAGTTTTTCTTATATTTAAAAAATATTCAATTGTTCAACACAAACATATTTGTTGGCATATAAGTCATGCTACCCTTCTTTTTTTTTTCTTCCTCCAAGATATCGGAAAAGTGTCTCTTTATATGCAATGCTGAAATATCTTATAAGTTAATGTTTACCCAGACACCAGAGACTAACAGTATTTGTAACCATGTCATTATCCCACCTTGTTTGCCAGGGAATTTCTCTTAATACCCGCTAGATGGTGTTTTATAAAGCAGTATAACAGGAAAGGACATACACCTGCTTTCTCTTTTTTTTCTCTCCTCAACCACAGTATGCCATGTGGACAAGACATGTAACATTTTTTCTCCATGTGTCACTTACATTACTTTATAATCTATCCTTTTTTGAAGTATGGCGATCAGCCAAAGAGAAAACTAACTGTGAGTTATATATCAGGGGTATAAAAATCAAGTAGGTATAGAAAGTTAATTACCTGCATAATATAGTAACAAGTAACGGGAGGTGTAACTGAGAAATCTGAAATGTGCATAGGTATAACAATATATACCTTTAAGAAATTGAACAAATTATTTAACAGATGGAAAAATGTCCTTAAAAGCAAAAAGAGTGCTGAACTGCTATGTCATATCTGATCACTTATGGAATTGTGGACTAGTGCTACAGAATCACAAACACAGAACTGTACCAGATAACAGAAATCACATCACTTGAGGAGTTTCAACAACTATGGGTGTAGTATTGTATGCAAATTAGATAGACAAGTATAAATAGAGAACAACTGGTGAACATGGGGTGGCTATGCCTAGCAAACCCAGTTGCTATTCAGGACATGGAGAACTGTAATACCACTACTACTATGCAGAGAGATATGCAAAACATAACAATGGATAAAAATGACTGAGTGAGTGGAACATGCAGGTCTTGGCAAAGACTATACTTCTTCAAACATTGTGGACTGGTGCTATGGAATCACAAAGAATTGTACCAGATAACAGAAAACACATCAACTGAGGACCTTCAACAGCAGCAACAACTAAAATGGATAGCACATATAACTCGAAGAGAGAATACTGACATAATCAAGATGTTGATGTTCTATACTACTTCAAATAAATAAAGAGGAAATTGTGGAGACCCATGGTCACTCATATTCTTAAAGGATGTGACACATAGAGAAAGAATTCAGACATTTTAATTTTATTGTTTTTCTTTATTTTTGGTAATTGATCAGAATCAGTTGATTATCTTAAAAGAAAAAAAAAGTCAGTACTTATCCATTCATGATTGCCAAATATTTTTTGTTTTCATATCCTTTTTTTTAGGTCGAGGTGTAAGCATCTGGGATACCTTTTGTCTTGACCCCTCAAACATTCTTGACAAGTCAAATGCAGATGTCACCAGTGATAGTTATCACAAATATCAAGAAGACATTAAACTTATCAAGGAACTTGGTGTAAGTATTATAGTATCTCATTGTACCTTATAGATTAAAGAAAATGTGTCTATATTTCTGAGATGAGGTATTATGTACATCATTTACATTATTTGGACTATTGTCCTCATCTTGTCATCATATTTATCACAACGTTTCGCCATTGTTGCTCCGGCCTTCTTTCAGATGGTTGAAATGTCGAACTGAACCCTTTATTTCGCCTACTGGGTAGACTATTCTAGTTCCACGTGCCTTGTTTGATGGATGTCAGTTATCAGTTATCTCCTGTTAATTTCTCTCTGAAAGTTCTCCACTGCCTTAACTGGGTATTGAACTCACAGTCTTTGGGTCCTGTCACTGGATCTAACTAATACCTTTATCCACTGTGCTATGTGTCCTTGAGGACAGATGGCACAGTGGATAAAGGCAGTGGAGAATTTTCAGAGGGAAATTGACATGAGATAACTGACATCCATTAAACATGGCATGTGGAACTAGAACAGTCTACCCCAGTGAGCAAAATAATGGGTTCAGTTTGACATTCCAACCAACTGAAGAAGGCCGGAGCATACAACGACCGAAACGTTGTAATAAATATGGCGACAAAGATGAGGACAATAGCTTGAATAATGTAAATATTATAAAGAAACTGTGTTTATAATTATGTTTCATTGTCAGAATGTTGTGAAAACAAGTATAAAAAATGTAGAGAGTTCAATATATGCATTTCATAGATTAAACAGTGATTTGATAAATATAACACAAAGTACTACTTGAAATGTTGCACAACCTTGTTCCACATGGAAATGATATACAAATAATCTGAAGTCTGTATTGGGAAAAAATGAATAGACAATGAATTAAGTTTGTCCACCAAAATTTTTATTTTGGTGGACAAACTTAATTCATTGTCTATTCATTTTTTCCATTTTTTTTGTCAAGTGTGACAAGGATATGTTTTCTCATGAGATTTAGTAAACCTGTACTAGAAGAAGGTTCAAAGAGAATTTCAGGATTTATTATTGGCTGATCTAACCTTAATATGCTATGCACATGAACAGGATGAGAACTACAAATTGGAGATGCCAAAATTAATCTTAGTATGCTATCAAAGAAATCAATCAAATACAGAAATTTAAATATCTAGGAAGAGTTTTAACATAGGATGGAAAAAAATAACACTGAAATCCAAACATGCATTGGAAAAATGCCTTCCAAAAGCTAAGCAAAGTATTAAAAAACAGGTAAATTTCACTAAAAAAACAAAGAAAAGAGTGCTGAACTGTTATTTAATATCTCTCCCCCTCTATGGTAGTGAATGCTGGATAATTTCTTCACAAATGAAGAGGAGACTTGAGGAAACAGAGACCTGGGCAGAGAATATAAGCAACAAGGAAAATGGAAACAAAAATACATACTTAGCCTCAAAAGGTAGCAGTTTAAAGTTTTGGGGCACATAATGAGGAAAATGGGCTTGGAGAATTTGATACTCAAAGGACATCAAAAACAAGAGGGACACAGGGAAACAGTAAGCAATTTACCTAATGAGCTTGTGTAAATCGATGGTAGTACAGTGAGGAGAGATAGAAACACAATTGATAGATAAAATGTAGATTATCTGCTGGAATGCAGATACTACACTTAGTATTTACTCATCTCCCCATGGTGATGGAATATGGCACAAGGCTGTTTTAAAGTGGAGAGCCCAGTTTCTTAGAATATTTATATATATATATAATATATATATATATATTCATGCACATTTCATTGAATACAACAGACAAGGTGCTTTAGTTTAGTTTCTTATACAATTTCTCATGTGATCTAATAATTTTTTTTTTTCGGATGATAAATTATATAAAAACTGATCATTTGTTCTTTTTATCCTAGCGCTTTCAGCTATGCATTTAGTCATTTTCAAGGTTGAAATATATTAACTGTTAACAAGAAATAGTTTGTTGTATGTATATATTTATATAGTGTTTTCATTTTTTTAAACATGGTCAAGATATTGTGCCCATGTTCATAGTTGATATTATTGAAAATGAAAATGTCTTAATGTATGGCCAAAAGCACTTGGATAAAAAGAACAACTGGATAGTTTTTATATAATTTATCATTCAAAAAAAAAATTATTAGATCACTTGGGAAATTGTATAAAAACTAAATCAAAGCACCTTGTCAGTCGTATTCAATGAAATGTGCATGAAAGAAGGATTGCTGCCTAAATACACAAGTGTGTGTGTGTGTGTGTGTGTGTGTGTGTGTGTATGTAAAGCAAAGATTGTATTTCTCCAAGAAGAGTCAACCAGCAAACATGGTATTTCTGGAAGATAACATTTTTAAGGTGACCAGTCTTTGCAATTACTGTGCTAAATATCAAGAAAGAGCATGTTAATACTTACAAATAAAATTAAACATTCACTTATCTTGTCTCTGCCCTGAGTTTTGCAGAGATTGTATCTACTCATCAGGAGATATGATTGCAAAATTGTAAATATTGTAATCAAAAGTTTCTTGATGAGTGGATGCAATTTCCATGAAACTCATAGTAGAGACAACTCACTGTAAATTATTAATTGTTTAGTTATTTCATTTTATTTTATTTTTTTTTATTCATCAACATGTTTTAAATGTTTTATTATGTAATTTATAAGATCTCTCGGTTTTAACTCGCTGTAATTTATTTATTTTATTTTTTTTATTCGTAAACAGATTTAAACGTTTTATTATATTTATAAGCACGTTCGGCTTAATTCGCTGTAATTTATTTATTAATTTTTAATGGCCGTATTTTTTTTTTTTATCTCTGTAAATAGTAATTATTAGCTGGTGAAATGAAACTTGATAGGAAGTGGGTAAAAACGGAAAACATAATTACCTTCTAAGTATCCGATGAAGGGTGTCCACTGAAAAATGAAAAAAGAAAAAATTACCCGAACGGCTTAAATAGATTTTTTGCCATTACTGCATTGGCTGTTGTTCAATCTCCAATGAAATGTGTGATAACGGGGTATATTTATAGAAGTCAGTGTCTACAAGCATTTTTTAGAGGGCGTTTCAGAGTCTAATCAGCTCTGAGGGGGTCGATTGGGTGAGGTCAGTATGATGTTTGAAAGACCCGAAACTGCCCAATGATCCATTTCCAGAACATCACTGACGACGCCCTCTAGCGCTAAAGAGCGTATATTCAAAGTATATATATATATATATATATATATATATGTATATATATATATAAGCATAACTTCATTCAGACATGTTTCATTGACTAATATAGACATATTTACTTTTATATAATAATCCTTTCCAGTTCTCTAATCAGTTTCTTGATGTTAAGATGAAATTCATCAAGGAAGCAGTATAGTTTTTTCTAACCCAAGTACTTTTGGTATTTTCCAAGATCATTAATAAATAAGTTTGTCTTTGTAATTTACCCCTGAAGATGATCTTGGAGAAGTTTGAAAGTACTTGGTTAGGAAAAACTATGGTGTGTGTATATTTATGTGTGTGTGTGTGTATATATATATATATATATATATATATATATATAAAAAATATAGTTTTAAGGTATGCTATGTTTATGGGGAAAATATGTATGCATATATATATATATATATATATATATATATATATATATATATATATATATATAAAGTATTTTTACTGAACATATTTTAATGTAGATATAATCAACATTGTATGAACATTGTATTATTCTATAAGTTTTACTATTTTGCAGGTGAATTTTTACCGTTTCTCAATTTCTTGGGCACGTATAATTCCTGACCCAACTGGCAGTGGTGAGGTGAACTCAGCTGGTGTTCAGTATTACAATAACCTCATAGACGGTCTTCTGGCTATTGGAGTAATGCCATTGGTCACTCTCTACCATTTTGATCTTCCCCAAACCATTGAAGACAAAGGTGGCTTCCTCAATGAATCTGTTTTGGTTGACTGTTTTAAAAAATATGCTGATGTTTGCTTCAGTGAATTTGGTGATCGAGTAAGTAATTTTATTTTTAATAGTCTGTTTTAAACCAAGAAAATAAAACTTGTCTATAGTTCTCTAACTTAATGAATTAAGACCCCATTACTTCTATCTTTGCTGCGTCTATGGTCAAATCATACTGAAAACACTGGTTCTCGTTCAATCATCAAGGTTAAATAGTGTTGAGTTTGGTCAGTACTAAGATAGGGGACTGGTTGGTAAGACCAGGTACTGTAAGCAATCTCTTACAATCCCTGATATGTTTCAGATTTAAATAACTCATGAAGGGTTGATAAGCCATAAAATAACAGATAAAAAGACTATGTCTGCTGTTTTGAATATATAGACACATTTCAGTTGTCCCACTCTCGGCACGTAGTCAGAATTGTAGTATTCTAAACATGAAACCCAGGTTCAACTCTTACCATGGTCAATTTGTCAAGGAGATGACTTCTTGATATTGTCAGCTTGCAGCACCATTCATCATCATCATCATCCCCTTAACCTTTGTAATCTTAGGGGGTATCTGAATGCAGAAATCACACTAAATCTCCCCCACAACAGTTTATCAATAGCAATTCTGGTATAGTCATACCTGTCCATTGTTTGACATTATCCAACCAGATTTTACGTTGGTGTCCTCTCTTATGTATATCTTCAATGGTGCCTTGCATGATGGTCTTGCACAGGCTGTTGTGCTTTGTTATGTGTCCAAACCACACCATTTTCCTCTGTTTGACAGTAGCGAGAAGTGGTTCCTGGTGGCCCACAAAGCTTTCAACCCTTTTCCGCACAAACTCATTGGTTTTATGTTCTCAATAGAAGAACATGCATTTCTCATGCATTTGTTCTCAAATTTGGAGAGAAGATGGGTGCCACTAAGTTATCTACAAGATCACTGAAAAGATTATGAAGCAGCACCATTGGGAATTGCCAAAAAAAAAAAAATGCCATGAGTTGATACAAGCCTTGCGAGTGAAACTGGGTAGTATAGAACTGTTTGGCATTTATCAATGGAATGGTCATGTCAGCAAGTCATCACTGTAATTGAGAGTTCAAGTTTACTGGCTTAGTTCAATTAATGACCTTGCTAGTGTATATCTTTTCTCCCAGAAACTTTAATTATAGTTGTTGTTTTTTTGTTATTGTTTTGTTTTTACAATGAAACTGTTGAAATGTTTGTTGATTCTGAATTCTCATGTCAGGAGGATTTACATCTGGCAAATTAGGTGGTTACATGTTTGGTGTGATGTAGTTGTGCAGATTGGTTGCCAACCAACCTTGGGTCCCCCAGCTTTGTAAGGAGGTGCAATGTCCTCATGAACCATATAAAGCCTTCCATTGCATACAAGGTCTATTTTGGGGTTCACAACTGTTTCCAGTAACCCAGTGTAGCCAGTGATATTTAACCAAAGACCCTATTGAAAGAAGTTGGATGGCACAACATGTCCTTCACTACTCACCACCCCTAAAATCATCACAGAAGCAGGCAACTTGGCGTGCATAGATTGGGAGAAATGTAGGAAAAGGAAATAAAAGAAATAAATAATAATAAAGAATAAAAATTTAATTAATTTTCCCATGATGCAAGAGATAAAGAAACCAGAATGGGTTTCTGGTCATATGTACGATTTTATAACCCCACTTCTGGAAAGGAAAAAAAAAAACAAAGAATGGAAGAATCAAACTCGCTCTTGATATCTTTATCCTTGTCTAGAACAGGCAAGTGACGTACGTTCACCCAACCCTTCTACTAAATCGGTCAAATTGTCCAACTAGTCATCATAATTTTCTCCTCTTCTCCCACTTGCCTCTGATCTGTTTCATAAGCTGTTCAAAAAAATGTATTCTGAATACAAGAGAGCATTGAAAACAAAAGGCACCTCTTGTTTCTGGTTATTTATGCTGCTTATTTAATCACAATTCATAATGCTTCCTTCTGTTAGTACACACATACATTGACATTACAGGTCTCCCTTTAATAGATATCAGAGGCAACATACAAAATCTGAAGAAACTGACTCAGTTTTGTACACTCTGGATGGAGTTGTGGCAACAGTGGATGCAAATACAGCTTTGTGAGCTGACTTCTATTTGGCAGGGTGTCACTTTGTTTACATCAGTTTAACCACGCTAGCTTATTGCTCCATGAGTTTTCTCCCTTTTTATATGTCAATATGTTTAAGTGGTTTTATATTCACCATTTTTTATAACTGTTGTCTGGAGGAAGAGTAGAAAAGCAGAAAAAGGTGAGTTTAACAACAGCACAAAAAACTTGAGTTGATCATACTTAGTGTCAATAACTACAGACAATTGGCATTATCAGACTTTTCCCTACTTTATCTGTTAAAACATGGTATGAGTGTATTTAATTTAACATTGGCCATTTAAATCACCTGACTAGTTGCCGTAACTTTGTCCTCTTCTCCTATTTGCTCTGGTCTGTTTTGTAAGCTGTCCAAAAAAAAAACCCAAAAAAACTTGTCTTCTCAATGCACCAAAACATCCAAGAAATGGTGCCTCTCTCCTTGTCTCTGGTTTTTTATGCTCCCTTTTTACCCATAATTCATATTGCCTTCTTCCTTTCATTAGTGAAAAGTATTTAAACTAAAATCATTCAGTTAAAACTTTTTTATTTCTTTTCTCTGGGTAAGTGAGAAAAGTTTCTTTCTCTCCCCTCATTTTCTTTCACTTTTTGTCTTTCTTCAAGGCTTATGGTCACATCACATTGAAACACTAGTTCCTGTATGATCACCAAAGTTAAGTAATGTTGAACCCGGTCAGTACCTAGATGGGTGACTGCTTTGGAGTACCAGGTGCTGTAATCTTGGATGTATGGGTGATATAATGGGTTGATATTGTTAATTGGATAGCTAGGTTTCAATTCCCATTGGGTTTGATATATTCACTTACCCTTGGAAAACATGAATTCACCTCTTCTTCCCCCACAGTTATGGGCTAACTAGTAAGACTTCTATCACTAAAACCATTATTATCTTTAGAAGAAATAAAAAATTGTGTACAAAATACTTAGATTTCGACATTAAATAACTAATAGAGGTTGATATGCTGTTAAACAAAAACAACCAACCAATCTTCTTCATCTACAGAAACCTCTCCCCGTGCTTTTTTTTTTTCAGTGAAATTCAGTCTGTATGAGGCCCGGGAGCCGCTCGAGGTAGATGGTTATAGAGTTAGAAACATAGTTTATGTGAATATGTGGGGAAGATAACAGTTAATCCTAGACTTGCACAGGTTAAGATTGTAGTGATTGAGAAAACACTCTTTTGGAAATCGGTTCCACAGACCAGCAGTTTGTGGGAAGAAGGTGCTCAAGCGGAACTTACATCTCACAAATGGAATATATAGGGAATGATAGTGGTTTGCTACAATGTGTGTGGCATCATGGGTCTTAAATTTGAAGGTTAGAACTAGTAGAACTAAGGAATGTAGTGTGTCTGAACACATTCTATGGAAGTAGTGATAAAGCAGTGAGAGACTTGAAACGTTTTGTTTGTAAGAAAGGGGTTGTAGTCTGGAAAATAATTTATTACCCACAAAGAAGTGGGGACTTGTCCATATATAGCAGCAGTACTCCATTTTAGGCCTAATATGGCTCTTCTAAAGGTAGAGGATAGGACAAGGAGTCTGAAACTTACTGGAGCAGTTCAGGGAATTGACTATTTTCCCAGCATCTTTAGTGATGGATTGTATGTATGAGCTTCACCTGAGGTCTGGGCTGAATTTAAGATCCAGTTCATTTATTATGATTGGTGATAGTTCAAGGTTCAATTAGGGATGCTGGTATGTAAGTAGTTTGGTTTGCATCCAAGTGTTAAATAATAGTTTAGCAGTCTGTATCTCAGCTCCAACTTCCAGTGGTTGACCTTCAGGGTCAGATGTAAGGCTTAATAAGGAAGTCAATTTTGATTAGCTGAGCTATCATGGGAATGATAGATATAGAAAGATTTTTCAGCGAGTTGATTCTTATATGTCAAGTAATGTAGATGCGTTCATTTTCGTGTCTGCCATGGCTCCCCATTAGGGAGGAGTGATTCCACTGGATAGTTAGAAAATGTACACGTCAATGTGAATAATAAAACTAGATAAGTTAAAATTCTCTGTATTTTATGTCATTCATTGCTCACTAAAACAATTAGAGATCACCAACCAAGAGAAGACAAGATGAGACCACTCCCAACAAGGTGGCTATGCAACACAGGAATCAGCCTGAATTCTGGAAAAAAGTTTGATGTAAATAATTGTTATACCGGAACATACCTATTCTATTGTTAATAGACTCTCCCACAGATAATAAGTAGTAGTAGTGGCAGTCGCCAGGGCTCAGAGTGAGTTGGTGAGTCAGTTGATGTCGGACCTTAAAGTATCAACCACCACAACTAGATTGCTGCGTCATTAACTATTATTTCAAGTTCCTAACGTTTTGTACGTCGAACCTCTTTTAGGACAGACTTAGTGAAATAGAAGCCTCCACTGTAAAAACTACTCTACAACAATAATAACACTTTATCCCAGAAATTCTGGCACTAAATAAATTTACTAATAAAATTTTTTAAAAATACGTACTTTCCGAGGTTATCTGCATTCCTTTTAAATTTGAATTTTCATGGGCTACAGGTAAAATACTGGATTACATTTAATGAACCAAAAGAGATAGCAACACTGGGTTATGGAAATGGGTGCCTTGCTCCAGGTATTAAAAGTCCATTTGATGGTGTGTACCAAGCAGCACACAACTTAATCAAGGCCCATGCTAGTGTATGGCACCTCTATGACCATTCCTACCGAAACTCCCAGAATGGTAAGTTATATAAATCATTAATAATTTATAATAAATTTAATTATTATCAATTTAACTCTTTTTTTCTTCTTTCCAAAATGAGTTGATGCTTAAATTAAAGATTTTGCCTTTTTGGAAATTTAAATGTACGACTAAAAGAAATTCATTTAAATCTGAATTATCATCCTGTTAGTCTTTTACCAATTTTTGGCAAAGTATTAGAGGCTTTAATCAAACCTTAATTAATTAAGCATCTCATTTCACACAGCCTTCTTTTCTTTAAAACCCTTATCTCTTTCTTTATCCCATCCTGGGTATGAAGATAAACTACATCTGCATCCTGTGTAAGACGATAAACTATGTCCATTAGCAAGGCCTCTGATCAGGAGGTTTTGAGGATTGTGGAATCACCTCTTAATAGCTGGTGTTCCCAGGTACACCCTCACCCGGAGGTGGTAGTACCTGTTAGGGTCCTAGCTATGGGTAAATAGTTAACCCCAAAACTGAGGTCAAAACACTATGAAAGTGTAAAAATAGGTTTTAATACCAGAAATACTTTGTAAAAAATTATTACCAGCAATGCATTTTTCAAAAAAAAAAAAAAAAAAAAGTTACCAGCTATACATTTTTGAAAAAAAAAAAAATTACTAGCAATAAAAATTTTGACAGCATTAAATAATCCATTGAGGCTGATATGCCCTAAAACAAACAAAACCAAACTGGGCTTTTGGAGAGGCCTGACCTGATCAATCAGACGGTCATGTCAAATCAATATATACTTAGATAGATAAAAAATATTAACAGCAATAAAAATCTTGTCGGCATTAAATAACCCACTGATGTTGATATACTGTAAAACAAAACCAAACGAAACAAAAAATCTTTTTCTCTTGCTCTTTCTTCTATCCTTCTCTCTATATACTTCTCTCTCAACTCATGAGAAATTTTAATTGGCTCTGTAGGTAAACTTAAAATAAGATAAGTATAAATATATGTATATTGTATATATATATTAAGAATTTCTGTCATTTCTGATAATTATTTTCATTTATAGTGTGAGGACAAAGAAGAGGACCAGCAATGTGTGGAACAATTGTTAACATAATTTTATTTTTATTTAATATTCAGCAGATACTGAACAGGAGAGTAACTCATTCTGCCTTCTTGGTCTCATGTTTTCCACTGACATGGAATGCTTATATTGAATCTGTTGCTCAGTTTGCTGCTAGGAATATTGCTTCACTGTATCATTCCAGACAATTTCTCTTGTCAGAATCCATCTTGCACATTTAAATCTACCATTCATCCATGCATTGAATATTTCTGCTATATCTGGTCTGGTGCTCTTGTTATATATTTCAATATTCTTGATAAAATTCAAAGAAGAGACTGTGATATTATTGGCCCTGACATGGCATCTTGATTTGAGTCAATTTCCCGCTGATATGTCATGGCTTCCCTGTGTCTTTTCTATAAATATTTACATGGAAATTGTTTTGATCTGTTCTATCCCTTTGTATGAATTTAAGTACAGTACTAGATTAGCAAATAGGACTCATCATTTTACCTTTGAAATAGCTACATGTGAGTGTAAGTTTTATTCTAATAGTTTCTTCTCTCACACTTCTTACTTGTGGAACTTTGTTCTAGTTCCTGCTTCCCTCTCAACTACAATCTCATGGGATTCACTCACTTCATAGCAGCAGAGATAAAAGCATACTTAACAGAAAATAAAACATGTAGAAATAACAGGAAAAGCATAGTAAATTGTATGTTAATTTTATACAATTTATTTATATTTTTTGTGTGTATTGGTGTCATATTTTTAGGTTACAACTGTTTTATGGCACATATGATAAAATGGAGAAATTCACTCTGTATTATTACAAGCCATATCACAGAGAGAAATTGAACGCATATTGCCCCCTACCAAGGTTCATGGTGAAGAGATTGAATTTAACGTTTTTGGGAGGGAACAGTTTTTGCTTTTAGGAGTAGTTTTATTATTTTTGATTTTTATTTAATTTATACAATATTTATTTTAATTTTTATACAACGTTTTTATATTATTGTTTTATTTTATTTATAATTTTCATTATTATTATTTATATTCTATTTTTATTTATTTATTTATAATAATAATAATAATATTCCTACAATCTTCAAAAATTTAAATGTAACTTCAATTGACATCTATAATTATACTAGAAATATTGTGTGAGATAAGAAACTATTAACATAGAACTTATGTTTATATCTAACCAATTCAACTGTAAAATGATGAGACCTTACTGCCAATCTAGTACTGCACTGAAATTCATAAAGTCCAGATACCAAAGAAGAAAGCACAACAGGGCAATTAGCATGAAAATATTTATAGTAAAGGCACAAGGAAGCTATGTCGAAGGTGACTGAAGCAGAGATGCCAGGTCAGGAGTAATAACATTGCAGATTCTTTTTTTGTATTTTATCAAGAATCTCTAAATATATAGCAAAAGCATCGGACCATATGGCAGCAATATTTAAATCAAGGATGATTTATAAATGTGTAAAATAGATACTGAAGAGAGAAAAAAAATTGTCTATCATGACACAATAGACCAATGTTCCTGGCAGCAGACCTAGCAATAGATTCAATATAATTTTTCCATTTCATGTGAGTGGATAATGTTAGCAGAAGTTGCAATGAGCCACTCTCCTGAAGGTTAGCATTGATTCAATGATTGGTTCAAGCAAATACTGCTTTCTATTAGATCAAATAAAAATGGGAGCCAACAAAAAGCGTACATTCAAAATCAAAGAAAAGATTAAAAACAGCAACAACTTAAAAGCAGCAGTGATAAAAAACAAAAAAAGAATTAGAATATTACTTTAGTCTGATGAAGTTCTTTTAGAGGACAAAACATTACATAGAAGTTTTCCACTTTGTCATTCAATTACCTAATATTGTTCTGATGCATGGAGGTCTATATATCATATCCTCAATGTACGGAGGCCTATAAATCATATCCTCAATGTACGGAGGCCTATATATCATATCCTCAATGTACGGAGGCCTATATATCATATCCTCAAGGTATGGAGGATTATATATCATATTCTCAAACTGAGCAATTGATTCAATATAATTCTTCCACTTCATGTCAAGGGAAAATATGGGACTGTGAAGGTGCAATGTGTTGCTCTCCTGGGGGTTAGCATCAGCCATACTTCTCTAAACTGATTGTTTTTAAAATTGTTTTATAGAATTGGACACCTTGTTTATCAATCATTCATTTATTTATTTTATTTGGTTAGTGCACTTTGTACCACTGTGGTTGCCTCTTCTTTCCATCTCACAATTGTGACATTCAAGGCAGAAAAGTGCAATGGCTTACCGGTTCCTTTTGCACCAGAGATGTTGAGGTTACCCCATCCCTCCTCTCAGAGGTGGATTGGTTTTTGAAGTCAGCTTCTTCTAGCCTTTGCATAATAAGGCAAGTAGTTTGAATTCAGTTTCCTTCTCCTAGACTGGTTCCCACCCAAGGCTATAGGACCCAGTTTGTCCTGCTATTTTACCCATAGCTGGGAGAAGAAGAGATGGATTCATACCTTTCCCAAGAGTATTAGCACATAAGTGAATGTAATGCGCATGACTGGAATTCACACTCAGCTCTCCCATTCCTAATACAAGTTGTTAATCATTACTCAGTGTGACTCCTCAATCAGTCAACCCACATAATTTTGAAAAAAAATAAATTTAATTCATTTTGATACTGTTTTTATTATTCTATCTAGTCTAAAACTTGTTTTATAGGATTATTGGAAATCTTACTTATCAAATCACCCTGTGGTAAACCCAAATGTAAAATAGAATATTAAAAATAACTCAAATTAAAATAAGGCATTTGCTTTCCTTTAAACCCTTTATCTCTTTTCTCTCTCTCTCTCTCTCTCTCTTTCTATTTATAACCCTCTATTTCTAAACTAATGAGAAGACAACTCTCAAATAAAAAGAGAAAGAAGAAGAAAAGACTGAACACGGCTGCCAAATGACAGAAGTTTGCTGGTCTAGGGTCTAGTTATTGTGACTAGAAAAATACCAAAATAGGAACGGCTCCATGCATAACTTCTGCTATAAAAAAAAAATTGAAAAAGCAAATGGAACACTGGAAAATAAAATAATTATGATCAACCAAAAAAAGAAAAAAAAAAAAAAAAAAAAAAACTTTTGATGTTAGCTAAAACCAACCTTTGTGCCAAGTAGTGTGGAGCTTTTCTTAAGTGTATATAAAGTGACAACCAACAGACTAGTAGGGAGAAGGGACTGTCAAGTGTGTCATGTGATGAAAATAGCAATCATCTGCTTAAGATTTTTTTTCTGCTCTTCTGAGGGCCGAGAATACACTGCAGATTGATGCCACACATATTTCCAAAGTAACCACACCCCAAACAGCTGCCAACAAGATGATGACTACTACCAAAATCTGACCTATAAACTCTCAGCTACCCAGCAAAATGAACTTTCACCAATGTGAATTACAAAGTTCTCGCTCCAACTGAAGTCAAATAAATAAAAATATTTTTTTTGTTTATACCTTTGATTCTGTTTGTTTATTCTGAAGTTTCCAAGAAATATTGCTAAGACCCTCTGGAACTAAATAATCATTAGAGTAAATGTATTTGTTTAATAAATCCTGTCCATGATATAATGAATTACATAACAATCAAGTAATTTATTATTTTACATTCTTTTTAAATAGGAAAGATTTTTATTTCATTGAGCTCCAATTTCTTCATGCCAAAAGATGCTAACTGCCCAGAAGACGTTGAAGCTGTCGAGTTGGCCCACCAGTTTAGCATAGGGTGGTTTGCTCATCCAATATTCATTGATGGTGATTATCCACCTATAATGAAAAATAAGATAGCGGAGATAAGCAAGATAGAAGGTCGTGAAAAGTCACGTCTTCCTGAGTTCACAGAAGAGGAAAAGAAGTTCATAAAAGGTAATGGCATTGTCATGTTCTTTCTTTTTGTTTTTTGTTTTTGGCTTTGTTTTCAGAGATGAGAAGAGATAAGTAATTTGCATAAACTAAACTGTGAGTCATTTGATTGTAAAGAAATAAATGATAATGAGACTCTGGTTACCTGGAAATTATGTATTCAATCTCTGAGTCAAGGTGAGCAGAAAATACACTGGTGGAGTGAAGAAATATATATATATATATATATATATATATATATATATATATATATAGTTCCTGGAAGTTTTAGGTTCAATCTCTGGGTTAAGTGAGGCAGAAACTTTGAATAGCACAGCTGGAGACGATTCTCCAACTGCAGATTATTTATTGTACAAAAAGTACAAATATGGCACAAGGCCGAAAAAGGGGAAAGGGGGAAAAGGATGGTCATCTTCTGTGTTAACATTAAACTTAGCTAGCCGCAAACACTAACTCAAACATACAAACAATATTCCTTTCACCAAAACAACTCATTCTTACTTACCATTCTTACTTCATCCTCAGAAACTCTATGAAGTCCTAACTAGTCCCCATATATACAATTCATTGTCTGTGGGGGGAGGGGAATAAAATAACAATTTAAAAACCGCAATGGGTATTTACAATGAGTACAAAACTATGTACAAGAAACTAAACAAAATAGTGTTAGTAATAAAAACCCCAAACCCCAACTGTGGTGAAAACGTCAGTTAACTGGACGAAATCAATGTGGGACTAATAAAAAAATATAAAAACATTCGTACAAACCATACACTCACTACAAATACTCATTCATCCAAACACAACAACAATTACGAAAAACACTCGAAACGAAAAACGCCCCGCACCAACCAGAGAACTGATATCACTAACCACCTAACGATGGGAGGGATGGGGAATTAAACAAAAGAAAGAAAATAGGACCAGAAAAAAAAGGCCCAATGAGCATACACGCCCTATATAAGTTTACTTGAAATAAAGAGAAAAAAAACTAAATCAAAAAACGACCTACACTAACCTATACACGGGAAGGGTTGCCATTATTTAACCCAGCAATCCCAATATTCTTACAGCCTAACCGGCATCGAAATGCCACTCCAAGTCAGCACCTTTCACTCTGCAGAGACGCGCAAGACTCACCCACCTTTCGCCAAATTCCAATGGTTAGAGTCACTCCCTTTTCGTCCTGATCTTAACTTTAAGCTGATGCTTAAAGAAAAGGATCAGTTGGGAAGAGGTAAACTTCTCGGCCCCATGGAATTCCTTCTGTTGCATCGTCCATATCACGACTCGCATAACCCCCAGTAAGCAAAGGAACACATAGTGCTCAGCCTTAGTCAATGGCAGTATTATATTGCTACAGACGGAACTGACAAAGAACTTTCCGCGCAGCATTCGAACCATGATGTCTTCAACAAACTTCCACAACGGAGCTACGACACTACAATGAAAGAAGGCGGAACCTAGGGTCTCCACGTGCCCACTGCAGTGAACGCAGTTTGGCGACTTAGCCAAACCCTCTGCACAAAGTCTTTTAGCGACCCAGAGGGACCCTAGAATCAACAGCCAGGTGAGTGATGCCTCAGTGTTATTGAGACATTTCAAACTGGGCGCCCAAGGCCATACGAAGCGAGCCTCCCGCTTTGTCAGACCGAGCTCGCCTATCAAATCACCTTGAACGTTCCCACTAACTAACACCTGATATAATGCCTTATGGGACAACGGTTGGACGTCGGAGAGACCATCCTTCGTCCGTAAGAGTTGCTTGAGAGCAAGCCAACATTCGTGATAGAAGGATCCCTCAGCTCGAGGAGTACGGCCGGCATCCTCCTTGCACAAGTGCACACTTCTTAAGGATGGAAATAGTCTACGTGCGTCTTCCTTCCAGAATTCGCCATTCTCATCTAACTGCATACACATCCGTTCTAGGTAAGTAATGCGAAACGTATGTCGACGAATCACAATGCAAAACATACCCAGACCGCCATCAGAAGGATGGAGGTAACACATCTCCCGACTAACCATGGCGGCCTTGCCTCCCCGCAAGAAGGAGAACACGAGCCTTACAAATGCCAATAAAGTGTCAAATGGGAGTAGAAGCATGGAGAGTCGGTAAAAAAGAATCGGGTAGATGTGCGAGGCACATACTTCCACCCTCCCCTTTAAGGAAAGATTTCTCCGGGTCCACGAATTCAACCGCAAGCCAACAGACTTATCGCAGTTGATCTTGGCCCCTGTCACCATCACATATCCCTTGATTTCTTTACCGACTTTGTTAATTTCGGCCCTGCTCGACATAAGGACCGAAACGTCATCAGCATAGCCGGAATACCTGGCCGAGGTGGTAGGACCAGGTAAAGAAATTCCGCGAAGCACCGGATTCGTCTTCAACTTACGCAGGAAAGGTTCCAACGCAAGAACGTACAGCCATGGCGACAGCGGACAACCTTAACAAATGGAGCGAGACAAAAAGAAAGGTTTCGATCTTACCCCGTTCACTTCTACCAGCGCACCAGGGGACGCATACTGCAATCAGATCCAAGTGCGACATGAAACTGGCGGCCGAAAAGACAGCATCCAGAAATTGATGGTCAACCCTATCGAAAGCCTTGGACTGATCTAAATTGATCAGCGCGGCATCACTGTCGACTTGCTCGATGATCAAGCGTACCAAATGAAGGTTGTTCTGAATATTCCTGCCCTTCACAGCACAACTCTGCTCAGGACCAATCAGACTAGAGAGGACAGCCTGCAAATGGCTGGCTAAGACCTTGGATAAAATATTTAACTCTGTGTTTAACATCGTCAGAGGCCGATAATTATCTAACCCATACCCACCGTCTTTGCTCTTGCAAAGCAACTTGATCACACCCCTGGTGAAATGTTGAGGTATAGACCGCTGCTTCATCCAGTTGTTGTAAATCAGCGCTAGCAAGGGGACAAAGTCGGGTGACTTCTTCAAGTACATTTCGTAAGGTAGACCATCTAATCCCGGAGTCTTGTCCATGCCAACGTGTTTCAGCGCATTCCAGATCTCAGACTCTGTAATGGGACCCTCGCACCCAGCCGCTTCAGCCACCTCGAGGCGGGGAAAGTCGGCTAAATAGGCGTCAAATTGAGCAGCACTCAGACCGGGCAACAGTTAAACAGCTCCTGAAAGTAGTCACGAAAAGCCTCACAAATGCCCACGTCTGTAGTTACAGTCTGCTTGTCCGGCAATGTGATGCTTGCAATATGCCGACTAGATGCCCTACAAGCTTCCTCTGCACGCAATGAAGCGGCCATGTTCGTAGCCTCGCAAGACATTCTTTTTATCCTAGACTACTAGAACTTGATCCTTCTTGATAAGCAAGGAGGCCAGCTCCGCCTTAGCTATGGCTACGTCCCCACTATCACAGGATTTTATCGCCCGATCTACTTTGGCCTCAAGAGACTTTTGCGCTGCTAACCCTGCTAGGTTGAGTCGATGACTAAAATCAGTAGCAAAAGACCTAAGTTTTGATTTCAGATAATCCCACCACTTATTCCCAACCACAGCCTCCGACAATTTCTGCTGTAGCATTAGTAGAAGCTGGTCCGGGAAACCTTGCTCACCAATTAATGATGCGTTCAATTTCCAGTAACCAGCCATCTTAATCTTAGGCTTCTTAAGTTTACCCGAACCTGGACAAGCCTATGATGCGAGTAAACTATAAAATGGAAACTTGGATATTCTAAGAGCCCTACGTCGACTCTCTTAACTAGAACTCGGTCGATGTAGCTTGCGCTCACCACCGAATCTGAGCTGCTGCCCTTAGTTCAAGTCCATACTACCCCCCCAGGAGTGCTCATTTTGATACTTATCAACGAGATCAGACCCGTCGATGAAATCCCAAAACGGCTTAACATTTCGGTTGTTAGTACCCAATCTCGGCCCTATACGATCTATATCGGGATCAATGACAGCATTCCAATCACCCGCTAGAACTACGGAACGAGATGTCATCAAAAACGGCACGATTTGCCGAAACAAACCGGGCCGCTGCGCATGGTCATTGGGTGCATAAACCCAATAAGATGAAGAGCCTTATCCTTTATGGTAATATCCAGCACGCAAAGCCTGTCCGCCAGATCTGCGAAGACAAAGCACACGCTGCATCATGTCGGTATCCTTACCCCGTTCATCTTCCGACCAGCATCCCAACCCTAATCGGTCTGATAACGGCACTCTGGTTAGCAAGTCTGAATGTCCAGGGCCTGAGATCGGAGTCTCAAAGGGCGAGACTTGTTCACCAGCCAGAAAATACCCCTCGAGGGTCCATCAAAACATGCTGAATACAGGACGTACCTCTTAGACAGAATATCCTCATGGTCGCAAGATAAAATAGGGGTCTTCTGTACACAACATACATCTACTCTGAAGCGCTGAAGATCACGATCGAGCCTCGCCCTTTGAGACTCCGATCTCAGGCCCTGGACATTCAGACTTGCTAACCAGAGTGCCGTTATCAGACCGATTAGGGTTGGGATGCTGGTCGGAAGATGAACGGGGTAAGGATACCGACAGCCTTTCCCATTGACCCTTGGCCCATCTTAGTCTTGATGGTACCGTCTTGGAAGAGACCGCCTATAGCCCAAGAAAATGTCAGTTTCAGTGCTCTATAGAGGGAGGGGTGAACTAAAACTGGGACCCTCCCTGCACAAAACTGTTTCAAATGTTTCAACTCTTTGTTTTCCAGGATAGCGATTGGCGGGGACATTTTGGAGGAGATGATTGCCTCATCTACATTGGCACATGCCTGCCGACCTCCTGTTTCTGTTCTAATAACAGTTAAAATTCTCTGGGCATGTGAAAAGTTTTGTGGCTCTTCCATATCCTTGTCGCCATATTGAAAGAAGGTATAATACGATTTCCAAAATCCCTGTCTCTTTCGACCTGGGCCGGGGGAAATTCGGCAGATATCCTCCCCAGAGTTATAAATATGCTTTTGAGTTTTTTTTTCTTATGTCTTTCAATTCCTGGG